GATATGCAGCACTGTCCTTGGTCTGGGGCTCCTCCTGGTTTGAGCTACTCACAAGCAGTGCCATCACAAGGCCCCAAGCCACCAGTCAGAGCTTTGGGAGCTGGAGAAAGCCAGTGCAGGTGATGGCAGGGCTCTGATACACACTCACTCTGGCCTTCTGGGCAAAGGTTCCAATGTCTGAGAGAAGGGGGAAACGTTCCTTGGAGCTGCCCACAGTATCACAGCCCCAGTGTCTCTGAGACTTCTGGTCTCCAGAACCATGACAGGTAACAGTCAGTGACACTTTATTATGGCAGCCCAGCTGACTAAGACAGTCCCCACACCAGAGACTGGACAAGAGGTCGAGTAGGGAGGAGGCTGGAGCCTGCTGATTAAGGAGATCCACAGGAGGAAGAAGCATAGGAACCAGGACTACTGCAGGAGGGATGCCTCCCATCCAGGGCTGAATCCTCTTTAATGGACATCACTTTGGAGAAGCGTTTTGGAGCCTTTAAAAATCTTGGCCTAAACCTCATCAAACTGCACAGAGATTACTTAAGATTTACCACACAGACACAAAATAAAATAAAGTAAAATAAAATAAAATAAGGCAGCCCAGCAAGCGGCAGCCCTGTGACAGGACCATTTGTAGTTGGGATGGAAAAGCCTCCTGATTCATCTGCTTAAGCACAGCGGCTTCTGTTTATTTCGCACTTTCATGTCGAATGAATTTGGAAAGAGAAAAAAAGTGACAGGCAGCTTAAGGATATAAGTCACATTTCAGTTTCAGTTCAGATTAATGAACTTGCTCGGAGTTGGCGAGGGCACAGGCAAATCCACAAATCTTGGAACAACAAAAAATTAACTCCTTGCTCGGTGTGAGCCTTGGCCCTGGGGAGAGGCTCCTCCAGGACCCTCTGCTGACCTTCTGCCTCAGCACTCTGGAACCCAGGCCTATATTCTGGTTCTGGACTGGTCTCCCTAGGGGTTAGCAGTATATACTGCCATGGGAGGGTAGAAGGGGTACAAAGCAGCCTGTGCACTGACTCCTGGGGGCCCATCCTGTCCATTTCCCCAAGGACAAGACAGACAATACATGTAAGGGAGTAACCACCCGGAAATGGGCAGCACACAGCCAGTGTGGCCCTGTTAGCCACTGCCCAGCACCCACGCAGCCCTAGGGCCAGAACAGACACGGCACCATATATCCCACTCCTCAGGGCAAAGTCCTGCCCCAGAATGGCAGCACTCCCTTCACTCTCTGTCCTACTGATCCTGGCCTCTATGTACTCACCTGCCTAGGGCAGCAGGTGACCTTGTCTGCTGCAGCTTGGCTGACACACCCATCCTCAGAGACCCTGGCTGGTGCATTCAAAAGACCCAAGGGCTCTGCTCAGTGGACTCCTGGTCTTCTGTCTAAACAGGGACAAACACTGACAAGATGAGAGAACCTGACCACCAGCTGGCTTCTGGCTGACCCCCTGCATCCTTGTCCTTCCACAACCAGTCCAAGAACACCAGTGGCAGGAATAGCCCGAGAATAAAATCACTTCATGGGGCAGAAAAGCATACCCAAGGATGGCGGCCAATGGCAGTGGTCTCACTATCACAGTCTCAAGCCCCAGTGCTGCCTGTGGTCTCTGGGAAAGAGAACATTCTGGCACTTCCCAGAAGGGGAACAAGACACAATCACCCTGTGCTTTCTCCCCAAAACAGAAGCAGCAATAACAGTCCAGGCTCCCAAGGCCCTCCTGCCTCCCTAGCAGAGCAACGAGGGGCTACAGAGGGGATCTGAGGGCTCTGCAGGGATGGCCAGGTACTGGACTGGGGTATGAATGCTGCCATACAGCAGGGAATGACAGGGAGAGGTGCAGAAGGGAGCCTAGGGCAGGACAAGGAAAGCTGCCACAAAGGCAGGAGAGGAATCCAGGGGACCTGTCCACACTCAGACTGTACTACCATTTCTCTTCAGTCTCCATGATTCCAGGCTCCTCATCAGATTCAAGCCTGGTAGCCTTCCCCAAGAAAGACAGGGACACGCCAAGGCCACCTGCCTATTTGGTGGGGCTGTACTGAACACACCATGCCAATGGGCCCTGCTCAGGATCTGGCCAACTGGCTACTCTCTAGGCAGTAGCCTCAGAGCCTTTAGGCCCAGCCTTCCCGCCACTCAGCTGCCCATGGCTTCTGTGTTTACCACTTGTTCTCCTGTCTCTGCCACCTTAGAGAGATCAGATTCTGTTTCAAGGGCAGATCAGAAAACTGAGGCTCTGAACGGAAAAGGCATGCCCCAGGTCACTTAGCCCACTAGGGCTTCCATTGGATGGCAGCCTTCCCCTGCTCTCTGAAGTGACCCAACCTCCAACCACAATGAGTGTCTATGAAGCACGAGCAAAACTGCCCCATGCCCCCACTAGCACTTAGCACCCTACCACACCTCCCGCATGTATCTGTGAGGCTCCAAATCTGCCCATTGAGGCTTTCAGGATGCCCACCAACCCCTACAGGGGAATCCACCCATGGTGGAGGACAAAGTTGGGGAACCAAGGAAAGTCTGGTGGGAGGCCCCACTTTCTCATCATTATGTCAGCCCCTAGTCTGTGGTAGCCTGGTCCCAACCCCTCCCACTAACGAGAGAGAAGGGGCCTTCAGTGGGGTTGAGGCCACAGCGAGGCAACCCTGCCAACCACACGCAAGTGGCCACTGGCTCTGATGGAGCAAAGCTGGCAGGGAGGAAGGGACCAGCTCAGCTGCCACCCCAGAGACAGGCCCTTTCTGTTGCCTCAACAAGCCACGCCTAGGCACACACAGCCAACAGCAGGCTGGACAGCTGGGTGATGGCCACTCTGCTAAGCAGGCACCCATACCAGTACACTGGTAACCTTTGGCAAGGGAGGCCCAGTCCATTTCAACTGTCACTCTTCACAGGCCCTCCTGAGACCTGCATCCCACTGCTCAGCTCCCTCTCCAACCCTGAACACAGAGGTCATGCCCCCAAAGGTCCCAGGCGCCCAGCAAGGGTTTGGACAGGACCAGGGTGAGACAGTCAGGAAAGAGGACAGGGCCTCCTACACACCCTCAGTTATTATGTCCATCTTGGGTCAGCTCCTCTATGACTCCATGCATAGGAAGGCACTGAGGCCACCAGCATAGTCAGGCCACTGGATGTGGACTGAATTAGGACTTTCCTATGGCTGTGGGATTTGAGCTGCCTAAGAGCAGCACCTTCTCTGCCTCCTGCCCACCCATACTCAAGGTGGAACCACACCAGGCACCATCCTTGAAGGACAGGGAGATGAGAGAAAACAGCTTGGCTGAACTGGCTGTTTCCTGCCTTGTGGACAGCACACAAAGCCCTGCAACACACTGGCTGCAGTACACAGTAGCCTGGTCTTCTTCAGCATCAGCCCTCAGGACTACACTGGCCACTTATCTCCTCCACAACTATCTCAATCCACTAGGCCCTGGGCACTGACCTTTTTAGGCCCTCCTGGGTAGGCACAGATGGTGCCAAATCTGGGATCTCCTTACCCTCAGAGGCTGCAGGGAAAAGCACATTAGGTCCCCTAGGCCTACCTCAGGCCCCCAGCCAGGCACTGGGAGAGGAGGGACATCAGGCCAAATGTCGACTACAGGAAGGGGAGGTTCTTAGGAGCTGAGAATCAATAAATCTGAACCTCATTCATGATGATCTGGGGCTCTTATTAAGTAAATTAATTTAAGTTAATTTAGCTCGATCATGACTCCCGATCACAGTGATTTAGTGAAGGGGAAATTGCATTAGGAAAGGCCATGCTCACCAGATAGAGGAACGGAAGAAAATTAGATCCACTTAGCAATGTGAATTAATATGGAAATAGCAGGTGTAAATTTAACCTTATCGAGAGAGTAAAAATTATCTTCATAAATTTATAGAAATAGCCCCCAAGATGCTTATAAATCTATTTAAAACAAAAATATTACCAAAAGTGCAGTAAAATTAATTTAAAATATACTTCTAGCTATTGCCTCCAGAATAGTCAGCAACAGGGCCAACCCTAGCATGGCCTGAGGTGGGAGAGGAGGCAGTAGGCCTCGGACAGATGAGCTGGTTGGGCTCACCTGCCACAGGCCCTGGGGCGAGGCTGTGCTCTGTCCACACAGCCTGATAAGAGCCCCTGGAGCTATCTTAGGCCTGCATTTGTCTGAGCAGCAGCAGAAGCAATGGCCGGGCAGCCACCATACACAGGTGGCAGGCCTCTGGAAGTGCCATGTGGCCTAGCAGGCTTGCCCTATGATCTGTGGCCCCCATGGCTCCCCTAGGGCCAAGCTCTGCCACTGCCCACTTCTCACCTGTCCACAGAGCTGCCACCCCTCCCCAGGCCTAGAGGTGGGACATCCCTGCCTTAGTAAAAGAAGGGACCCTAGGGCCCAGCCTCCTGAGACACAGAGCTTGGGCCACCTCCATCAGTGGGTGTCAGGGCTTTCCCAAAAGGAGCCCCCAGGAAGGCAGGCACAGAACACTCCTCGGATGGGGTGGCCCCTCCCCACTGTTCTCAGGCACAACAGCTACTGGAAGGCCAGCACGCACTGGGGGCAGAACTGTGAGAAGCAGCCCAGAATTGGTGATGAGGAGCCTCAAGTTACTACCCTGACAATGCATATACTGGCAGCTTCCAGAAAGCAGGCTCAGAAGTTTCTCTCCAACAGACGACCAGAAGCAACTCATCATGGGGGCCCCAACTGCATAGGTGGTGCTGCTTCTGTAGTACGTAAGGCCTACTAACCAACAGGCTTGCTAACGACAGCAGAGGGTATGCATGTGCATACAAGTGCGTACATGCCTAAGTGGCTCTGTGTACATGTGACATATGCAGACTGTGTGTCTGGTGTACAAACTGCTAAATCAGTTTCCTGTGACATCACAGTTTCCTAGGACAAGATTGATTCCTACAGCCCTCAGGCCCCAACTTGCAGCCCCCAATACCCAAAGAGCCTGGTGCCCAGAAAGGACCTCAGGAGCCTGTACAAGGTCTTCCTACCTGGAGAGTGAGAGCCGCCGGGTCCGCCAGGAGGGCAGAGACAGTGTAAAGGGTGGGGTGCAGACAGGAGAAGCTGGAGTCTTCTTGACGATGCGGTAGCGGGTCTTGATCACTTTGCTGGTAGGTGGAGTCCGCAGAGTATGCATGCTGGACACTGTAGAGAAAACCCAGGGAACATGCAGGGGTCAGAGAGGTCAGCCGGTTCAGGGCTGTAAGCTGCCCTCAAAGCTGGCCTCCCTGACATCTCCTCTACAGATAAAGGACTCTCCATCACCTCCCACCTGACCCCACCCCACTTAGCTCACACACACAGCCCAGAGCCTGGCAGCCAAGAACTCAAGAGCTGGCTGGTGTAGCTGTCAGGAGAGCAGGCCACCGGCCCTGTACATCTTCATGGCTATCTGACAGGCTGAATAGGGATGCTGAGTGACTGCCTTGGAGAACACAAGAAGTCCAGCAAGCCAGCCCCTGGCTGACTAGGAGGCTTCACAGGTAGGCACCCAGACCAGGAATCCTCAGACTTTAAACTCCATGGCTGGTCCAGGAGGCTGGTGCTGTGGGAGCTCCCGCCCCCCCCCCCCACATACACACAGGAGGGACACTGAGAGCTCACCTCTTCTCTGGGTACCACCCCATCCCTGTGCCAGAGAGACTTATGTATTTAATCACTGTTTTCATAACATTCTGTAGGATGACATCCACAACAGCTTTTTTCTTGCTGAATGTTTCATACAATTAGCAGGGATATGCTCTGCCTGAGTTCCCTTCCACTTGATAGCCAGCAATTTCTCTATAGCTTCAAGGAACGTGTCTAATTGCCCGACTTTCATAATGTACAGCTCTAACTGCCCAGATAATTAAAGCTAACACAGCCACCTCTCATGCCTGCTCCCCTCTGGCCCTGGGTACAGGGCCCCAAGCAGGACCCCCTGCCCAAACCGCCCAGGTAGGTGGGAGCATCTGCTCCCTTCTAATCTATACACACCTTCCCCTGCCCTGGGGATTGTCCGCCCCCTAGGCTCTTGATACCGTACACCTCACAGGACCAGCTGGATTGGCTCCTGAGACTCCTCACCCAGAGGCAAGCACAACAGAAATCTCATAGCCTGGCCTCCTAGACAACACCTTAGCCATCAGTCCTCAGAGACAAGATCTCAATGCTTCTACTACCACTATGCTTCTACACATACAGCAAGATTCCCTCCCTCAGATGTCCCTAACCTCTACTAGGTCCTTCATTAGCCCACACGTTGGATGAGACAAGAACACAGGGTCAAAGTCCTCCTGAGAGTCCCCATAGCCTACCCCATAAGGTCTGTCACAGATACAGCCCCTCGAGGGGCTGGAATACAAGCTGCACACACTCAGCCTGGGGGAGGGTGGATGGTGCTCAGTACAAGGGCCACCTCTGGTCCAAGGACTGAAGACAGGAATTAGAGCCAACTGTCTGCCAAGGAGAGGCCACAGCAACATCTAGATGACAGCTGCCATCAAACCCCAGTATCAGGTCCCCCTCTTTTTTTCGGTATCGGGGATCGAACTCGGGACCTTGGGCTTGCGAGGCAGGCGGTGGGTGGAACCACTGAGCTAAATCCCCAGTCCTAGGTCCCCCTCTTTCAATCTCTGTCCTTTTCTGTCCCTACGCCACCTGTCTCTTTGTCCTTCTGAGTCTCTGAGGACTGTGGCTCAGGAAGTAGTAAGGAGAAAACCAGAGCTCAGGAAACAAAGTGTGAAGTCACATTGCTTGGAATCCCCTGGGCCTCCTGAGTGACCAAAGTAAGCAAATCTTCCGCTGAGCACCACCTTCTACCTCTCAACACACTTAGGATACAGGGGAGAGCCTGGTATACAGTGGGTGTCAATAAATAAATGTTTGTTGAATTGAATTTTCAAGGTCTTACAAGCAAGGAGAGTCCATCGAAAATCAATAGTAGCTTGTTCCAACTAAGAGCCAGAGAACACAAGACTCCTTAAGTTATCAATAACCCTGGGCTGGCCTTATTGCCTCAGAGCCCTGGTCGAGCTAGGCAGCATCTGGAGGGGGTGTGTCCATCAGAACACGGCTCAGAACTCCACTGTCATTCCCAACCCCAGTGCCCAGGTTTGTAGAGAAGCCTTGGGCCACTCACTTGACAACCTGCACCCAGGTACTCTGAGCACATCCCACTGGTCTCCCAGGCGGCCCACAGCCAGGATCCCAGAGCCATGTGCACCCCATGTTGCAGAAGAAGGGACCAAGTGATGCTGGGGTTTGTGTTCCACCCTGCAGCCTGGACCAGGGAACCCAGAGACCTGGCTGGACTCGACTCCTGTTTCCCAACACACAATGTCCCTTTGGCTAAAATCACCTTTCCCTTGGGGGTGGAAGCCCGCTCTTCCTTCCTGATCCACAGAAAGAAGCTACCTCTTCCAGGAAGGCCCTTTCCCCCTGCTCACAGGACAGTTCCTACCTAAGTGGGTCAGCTCAGAGGAGACAGCACCAGGCAGCAGCACCAAGTCTGAGACCTGGAGCCTCCCCACACTCCTGCCTGCTGATGAGCCTCAACAGGAACACCTTCCTCTGCCTAGCACAACTCGAATTTCCTAACTTTCTGCATCTTACTTATTCAGTGCCCAATGATCACACCCAAAAAATACATGGGAACAAAGCAGACTACCTTTTAGAAGGCAATCTCTTGTCACTGCCCAAGGGACCAGGTGTTTCCCACACCTCCCCTGTGGTATAGTCTGAGGGCAGGGACTCACAGAGGCCAGAATGCAGCCCATGCCACTGCCAAGTGGGCCTGCATCCCCAACAGCACACCTCTAGACCACCTTTCCTGGATATGTTCACGACAATAACCCGACAGGCATGGGGACTGAAATGCAGCCAGTAGGAGCAAGCGCTTCTAAGACTGTGCTTGGTGCACAGCAACCCAGAAAGGCATGCTCCAGGGAGGCCAGGCCCTCCCAGTGGGCGGGTAGCAAAGCCACAGAGCTGCAGGCCAGCCAAGGCAGCAGACAGTTAGGAATGGCCCTCCTCCCTGAGGACAAGGCAGGGGCAGTCCACCCCTCCTTGCTGGCTGAGGGGTTTTGTGTAGATAATCATGTTATTTAGATAGGATGTTGGTTTAATTCCCTTCATTACAGACTCCCAGGGTTGTAATTTTTTTTCTCCGCATGATGTATCCCCCAAGGCACGCTTCACTCAAATCAAGCCCCTTGCGCCTTTTATTGCCAATGATGCCCATGCCGCGTTATCAGGCCCACACATGCAGCCCTCTCCGCCCACCGTCCAGAGGTCACTTCTAATGACTAATCGATCTCATTAGCTTTCCTAATTAAAAACTTTACTACCGCAATGGAAGACAAACTACAGAAAACCTGCTGGCATCATATTTGAATGGGATATGAGCCCTATCTATCAACAGGGCTCCAGCTCCGGCTGGAGGCACAGGGGCTCTGACCTCTGGCCTCCCCACCCCCAGACCATCGAGGCATTAGGCGGGGGCAGCCCAAGAACAAGCCATTCACTGAGCACCTCAACCCCAAGGAGGTGCTATGGGAAGGCAAGGAAGCTGGGGAGTCCAAGAGTCTGCTCCTATCCAGCACGGGCTGCTCTCAGTCTGCAGAGCCGCTGACCTGGCTGGCTTTCCTTGGGAGGCCTCCCAGATGGCGGGATCCAGGTGGAGGTTATGTTCTTACTCTTAGTGCATACAGGCAGCAGTTGAGAGGCAGTTCAGATTTTTATGGAACTTCAAAGGGAAATAACTAGAAGAAAATGAGTTGCTAATTTCACAACTGGTTAATGAATAAGATGAAAGTGGAATTACTGCTTTGTGCAAAAGCTGCCTGAGGCTGCCAACCCAGAGAGGCTGCTCCTGCCCTCCTGCACCGGACGAGACCAAGAGCCAAGGTGGGCATCCCTGGTCTGTCTGGTCCCCAGCAGCCAACACAAGCAGCACCAGCTTCATCAGGAAAGAACACAGGGCAGTGAATGGGGGCCTCATCTACCTGTGGGGGCAAAGACCTGAAGAGCCTCCAACCGTGGCCTAGGCTGCCACCACAGCTTCCTGTCCACCCACCACTGGGCCTTGCTGATAGTGGGCTAGAAGTGGGAGCACCAGGGCCGCAATACTGAGGTGACCAGCATTAAGATTGCAGGAGCTGTTCCAAGAAATTGCCCAGTTCTAGAAACCCCTTCATCCCAGCAAGGCATGGGGATAGCTGAGGAAAAGGCTGGAGGATGGCACCTGAGTGCAGAATTTTCCAAGACCAGTCACAGGAGGTACCCATGCTGATGGGACAAGAGAAGTAGGGCCCAAGAGGAGAATATGGCCTGTCCAATAGGAGCCTGGACACCTGCCATGTTCCTGACAGCAGCAGCACCAGTGACAGGCCAGGTAGGGGGCCAGCCCTACAGGAAGGCTGATTCCTGGTGCCAGATTCTCAGGTCAGCAAGGCTGCCCTGGTTGAAGGACCTTCCCAGGCTGAGGGCAGGGAGCTAGGCCACAGGGATGGCTCTGGAGCTATGGTGCTACAGTGCAGCAGGCATTCTGCCAGCCAGGCTCTCTGTCCCTAATTCAGTATGATTCAACTTTCTTTGTATATTGCCTAATCTGCTTTTTATCAACAGCTACCCTGACACTTCTTCAATATCTCCAAACTGTCTATACCCTTCACTGGCTAAAGACAGCTTTAAAAGGCTGTCATGGCTCAGCTCATACAGAAAGCACATTGATTTCTGCTGTCCTGTGCCATAAACCATCCTCCCTTCCTGTCCTCTCCCATGGTCCCCAATCCCCTGCCTAACAAAGGGCCACCTCTACCTCAGGATCTGGCAGGGAAGCCCCTGATGGGCCACAGTGTTGCCAGCCAAAGGCAACTTTTATACATTCAACTCATTTTACACAGTGTCAGTGGTCAGAAAGGACTTTTTCCCCCTTACTCCAGCTTCTGATGAGATACCAGCTCTGTACCAGTGCACGGCCTATTCTGGTGCCTGTGACCTAGGAGAGGCAGCCTGATCATGAGGCAGGGAGGAGCAACCAGCAGACACAAGCCCCTGTACTGGCACAGATGGTAGTGGAGGACTACTGGGTGCCCCTCGGCAGGTGGTACACAGAGAGCTTGGAGGGAAGATGAGGCCCTAGGACCATGCACTGGCAGGGGCAG